ATTCTCTAAGATCTAAAAAGATTCATTTTAATTTTAGCAAAAATTTAATAGTTTTACCTTAGGTTTGATATGAATCTTTATTCTTAGAATCGAGTGATCTTTGAACTCTGAATATGTAAACTGCTTCCTCCAACGACCTCCTGCCTTCACCGAATCTTTACTATTTCAACTTTTTGCTCTCACTGTATCAATTCTAAATAATAAAATTATAGATTTTTGTTAAAGAAAAATTCTTTTTTTTGCTAAAATGAGAAGGAAACTTTCCATTTAATCTTTCAAGAATCTATGGAAATAAAGATTTAGAAACTCATATTGATATCAAAATATTGAAATTTTATTCCTATCAGAATTTATACAAGGCTTCTATTTGGTACAAAGGAATTTCCTGAAAAACTGGTTTTATAAATGTTGATTCTCCACTACATATTGAGTTTACAATTTGAGATAAGATACTTTGATTTCAAGATGATTTCTATCTATTACAATTCCTCTATTTATACAAGTTTATGAGACTCTATTACATCATTGAGTACATCAGCAAAGGCACACTTGCCTCTCTATTATTTTTCTCCTTGAGCCTACATCTTCACATGCTTCTTTAACTTTTTATTCAAAGAGCATCTTTCTCTATTATTGTCATTTATCTTCTATGTCTTCACATGTAGCTGTATTATTGTTCTCTATATGGCTTTGATAAAGGTGCTTTTTATTGTCTTCTTTTTTCACATGCAGCAGGGGCACTCCCCTAATTGGCAGGATTCTTTTATAGTAGTAGAACATTTTGGAAATTGATGTATTTCGAATCTTATAATATGATCCTTCAATATTTCTAATTTTTCATGTCTTTGATTTGATACCAGCATCCAGTTTTCATATTGACACAGACATGAGAATTTTTTGTCAAACAAGTTTTTGGCAATGTTGTATATAACTTTAATTCCAAATGCTTTTCTATGTCCAATCCATGATTTTGTCACTGTTGAAATTTTTCTATCAATTTCCATCACATTTATTTGGAAATTAGCTGCTACAAACCTGGTCGTTTGATTACCCGCAAGTGAACAGGATCGTGAACAAGTAATATAGTGGTGTGTAGAGTATCGAACCCACAAGGACTATGTGATTGATCAAGTTAAAGCTAACACTACTTTTAATCGAATAGCAAAATCGAGTTGTAATTAAAAACTATTAAATCTATCAACTAATAGAAAGCAATGTAGAGAAAATTTATCAAATTCAAGAGACATATTGCTAAGATGTCGAATCCCTCTTGCTATTCAATTTTTAATTCAACAACTTAAATTGACAATTTGAAATCATGCTTGTTGGTCAATGTTCCTAATTTATTTAAAAGTCTCTATCGATAGCAATTAAATCTAATTCTACACGTGATTTTCCTATATATCTATAAAAAAAATACGAACATGCAGGAAAGTATTAAATG